CAATGAGTAATGATAACTTGGCTGTATACACAGGGTAACTGCTTCGATGGGCAGAGGTAAGCGGTAATTGAGGTATACATGTACATATAACTAGGAATAAAGTGACTAGGCAACAGGATAGATAAACAGTAGCAGCAGTGTATGTGATGAGTCAACAAAAAAAAGGGTCAATGCAGATAGTTAAAGAGTTAACCAAATAGCTACCGCACTAACTATTTAGCAGTCCTATGGCTTGGTGGTAGAAGCTGTTCAGGGTCCTGTTGGTTCCACACTTAGCAGAGAGAACAGTCTATGACTTGTTAATGCACAATGCACTGTAATTACTACATTGATTCACAAATTATGTGATTTGTTTTTACAACCTAGAGCCAACAACGCAGGTTCATATTTTTGTACATAAATGTTATTTATTGTTTTTTTCCCCATTGTCAATAAAAGGTCAAGATTCAGTCCAATTAATTCACATCATTACATATTTAAAAAAAAGAGAAAAAAAAAGGTAAAATTACAAATCATAATCATAGAATAGGCAAGCACAATATCCATATATAAACCACGCCCACATGTTCTAACCCCACCCAGCATTTTCCCCATCCAAACTCTAGCACAAAACTCAATCAATACTTTAGTTTCAGTAATAAAAAAACAATCAATACCACAGTTTAAAAAGCGCTATATTGTGCAATGCCTTGAGTTCTACTTTGTCCTCTGGCATCACACACACTAAGTTATATTCCCCACTCCAACAATTGCCCAGCTAAACAAAAATAATGGACATGCATACAGTCGTCAGGGTATCGATACCTCACTTTCATTTTCATAGGGTCTCAAGTGTCAATGACCACGGTATTAATTATTTTCCCTTACATTCAGACACCTTCTTAGCAAGAACCACTTAGAGTACAATAATGAAAACCGGAACAGATCTAGTCTCGTCCTAGAACCCTGGCAAGTCTAGAACCATGGTGAGCCTAGAACCCTGGGCACAGGAGGCTGAGGGACTTCCACCACCTTAGGTTGGGTAACACACAGCATACAGTGAAAATGGAATACATCCTTGTTCAAAATGATCACGGAAAAGCAGCCCACCTACAAAGTGCCACTTTCACCCAGGATGACTGCAGTGTTATGTAGTGTTGTTCAGCATACAATAGCCTATGTCCCTTCAATAGAGAGGTACTCTTATAGACAGTAACTGCAGTACTCTATGACTAGGTCATTCCTAGAGTCCTTGCTTCAGGTCTTTCTGGGGGGGAGTGTCAGTCAACAACGCTAAAATAGACACAAATGTACATATTATATTTAACTACACTTTGGATGCTTTGTACAATAGTCCTGAACTTAAGACCTGCTTATCATGCTTGCTTGTGCCGTGTGGGTGTTTGTGGACTGATGTGGTGGAACCTGCACCACAGTAACAGTGAGAGGCTTGTTTATGGCTTGGATCAGACATGAATCATTCTGTCACCATAGAAGAGCTCCTATACACCACAGATATCATACCATCAGTTCATGAAACTGGCATTCATGTTGGCTCCATCTATGTTATTGTCTTAGAACCAACATGGAACCCAATTATGTTTAGACATTTCAAAACAGAGTTTGAGTAATGGCTCGATTCAATCCGTAGTGCTGAAGACCTGCGCTATAGCGTGATAGAACATGTAAAAGTAATGTTCCTGCGTTTGCGGAGACCGCATTCACGGTAAACGCTGCATATGTCGGCTCAATTAGAAATTCCCTTTACATTTCAATCGCGCTACAGCGCTGAACCTCAGTGATACGGATTGAATCAAGCCCCAACTCTGTGCATCTGTGGCTCTGCTATACACTATAAAATATGTTATTACTTTGAGAGAAAATGCACGAGCAAAGATTGAGGATAAGTGTGAATTAAGGAATGTGTAATCCTTTCAGATCTCAGTCAGTAAAAGTGTTATATTTATAAGACGCTATAACACCATTTCTTTACCATCAGGAATAGAAAAGGTCTGTCTTCCTATGTGTTTGATACAGATGAATAGCAGCAAACTGAACCATCATTTCGTACATGTGCGATGTAAAATGTAAGAAATAACATGTTAGTTTGACAGAAAATTATAGTTTAGATGGCCTCACGGACACCATCCACTGCAATTGATCATCAGTCCTGCTCTCTCCATCATCAAAACAGTAAACTGAACCATCTTCTCAAGAGCTACAGAGAAGACTGTTTCTAAAATGAAAACAAAATATATTATTTTCCAAAGGCCTCTCTAACCTTTTTTTTTTTTTTTTTCCAGTATAGGCTTGATTGATCTTCATTCACATTAGCAATCTATCAAGAGACACACAGAGGCCTCCTTACAAAAACAAACATGTTTTTTTTGCTAGTATTTTCTAGCCTGATTCCAGATTTGTTTGTGACTACAAATCTAAGTTCATCTAAGGCTTCAGAGACAAAGTCTCCACAACCAGTAGACTTTAGACACATTGGATAATATGGATGGGAAACAGCCAAACAAATACTAAGATTAATACTGCAGTACATTTTCATTCCTTGCCCTCAGTCAGTTATCATAACCTTCAGCTAAGAAGTTAAAACACAGACTCACAGGAGAGAAGACTCTTTCTCAAATAACTCAAATGCCAGTTATTTTCTGTCCGCTTGCCCCTTCCCCTAATCAGGACAGGACTGGATTGGTGAAAGCAATCCAGAGAGGGAGATGTCCATTATAAAAGAGAGACAGGGAGAAATACAAGCAAAAGCAGACAGAAAGATGTCCACTGTAGACACAGGGAGGAGTGATGTCAACTCAGGTCAATACAGAGAGCATCTTCAACTCTGAGTTGTACACACATACATACATAACCAGTCAAACGTTTGGACACACCTACTCATTCAAGGGTTTCCTTTATTATTAATATTTTCTACATTGTAGAATAATAGTGAAGACATCAAAATGATAAAATAACACATATGGAATCATGTAGTATCCAAAGAAGTGTTAAATCAAAATATATTTTATATTTGAGATTCTTCAAATAGCCACCCTTTGCCTTGATGACAGCTTTGCACACTCTTGGCATTCTCGCAACCAGCTTCAATTAACAGGTGTGCCTTCTTAAAAGTTAATTTGTGGAATTTCTTTCCTTCTTAATGCGTTTGAGCCAATCAGTTGTGTTGTGACAAGGTGGGGGGGGGGGGGGGGGGGGGGGGGGGGGTATACATTAGATAGCCCTATTTGGTAAAAGACCAAGTCCATATTATGGCTAGAACAGTTCAAATAAGCAAAGAGAAACGACAGTCCATCATTACTTTAAGACATGAAGGTCAGTCAAAACAGAACATTTCAAGAACTTTGAAAGTTTCTTCAAGTGCAGTCGCAAAAACCATCAAGCGCTATGATGAAACTGGCTCTCATGAGGACCGCCACAGGAAAGGAAGACCCAGAGATACCTCTACTGCAGAGGATAAGTGCATTAGAATTACCAGCCTCAGAAATGTCAGCCCAAATAAATGCTTCAGAGTTCAAGTCACAGACACATCTCAACATCAACTGTTCAGAGGGGACTGTGTGAATTAGGCCTTCATGGTCAAATTGCTACAAAGAAACTACTACTAAAGGACACCAATAAGAAGAAGAGACCTGCTTGGTCCAAGAAACACGAGTAATGGACATTAGACAGGTGGAAATTTGTCATTTGGTCTGGAGTCCAAATTTGAGATTTTTGGTTCCAACCGCCGTGTCTTTGTGAGACACGGTGTGGGTGAACGGATGATCTCCGCATGTGTAGTTCCCACTGTAAAGTATGGAGGAGGAGGTGTTATGGTGTGGGGGTGCTTTGCTGGTGACACTATCTGTGATTTGTTTAAAATTCAAGGCACACTTAACCAGCATGGCTACCACAGCATTCTACAGCGATACGTCATCCCATCTGGTTTGGGCTTAGTGGGACTATCATTTGTTTTTTAACAGGACAATGACCCAACACACCTCCAGGCTGTGTAAGGGCTATTTTACCAAGAAGGAGAGTGATGGAGTGCTGCATCAGATGACCTGGCCTCCACAATCCCCCGACCTCAACCCAATTGAGTAGGTTTGGGATGAGTCGGACCGCAGAGTGAAGGAAAAGCAGACAACAAGTGCTCAGCATGTGGGAACTCCTTCAAGACTGTTGGAAAAGCATTTCAGGTGAAGCTGGCTGAGAGAATGCCAAGTGTGCAAAGCTGTCATCAAGGCAAAGGGTGGCTATTTGAAGAATCTCAAATCTCAAATATATTTTGATTTGTTTAACACTTTTTGGGTTACTACATGATTACATATGTGTTAATTAATAGTTTTGATGTCTTCACTATTATTCTACAATGTAGAAAATAGTAAAAAATAAAGAAAAACCCTTGAATGAGTAGGTGTCCAAACTTTTAACTGGTACTGTACATACAGGTAACTGCCAAAAGAAAGGAAACACTTTTGTAAATGAGGGATAAAAAGTATATTGAAAGCAGGCGCCTCCACACAGGCGTGGTTCCTGAGTTAATTAAGCAATTTAACATCCCATCATGCTTAGAGTCATGTATAAAAATGCCCAGTTGCCCATTATTTTGGCTACCATAGCTAGAAGAGATCTCAGTGACTTTGAAAGAGGGGTCTCAAAGGAGCATAGGGTGTTCCAGACACTTGTAGAATCTATCTCAAGGTGCATTGAAGCTGTTCTGGTGGCTTGTGGTGGCCCAACGCCCTATTAAGACACTGTTGGTGTTTCCTTTATTTTGGCAGTTACCTCTATGTACACAGATTAGACAGTTTGCAGGTGCACACACACACTCTGCCTAAGGAAGTCTCAAGGAACACACATCCAAAGTCTGACAGGTGTGTCCATATCAAGAGGTCATTCATTTCCACGAGTCAACACACATACCCTCAACGCACTCACAGATTTACAGCATCCTGGATGCTCCTCTTCAGGTACTGTAGGTTGATGACTTTGTACAGCTCCTTGCAGACACACTCGCACAGACACACAGAGCCAAACACACACCCTCTCCTCCTCTCTCAGGCGTGTGCTGCAGCCAGGTCTTGGTTGATGAAACGTCGTAGTCTCTCCAGGTATTGGCTGTAGAGCTCTATGTCGTTGTGTCCCGCCCCCTCCACCCAAAGCGGCTCCACGGCCTTGGGACAGCGCTCAAACAGAGCCAGGCCGTGGGAGAAGTCTATCACCTCGTCCTCCGTCCCGTGGATGATCAGCACCGGGGATGGGATCTTAGACACCTTCTCTATGCTGCAATATATAGGTTATAATCAGTTAGTAAGCAGTCTTCAAGACCTTGTCATTGTTTCTGCGATTGCATATGTGTATGATTGTTTTTTAATGTGCTTTTTGGCTGAGGAGTCCAAATATCTATTTATTCCAAAAGATGTGGGCCTTTACGACGATTACTTTTGTTCTGGATCTAAATTAAGCATTCTAATGTTTTTTTTTGTGCATGCGTGTCTCACTTGGGGAAGGCATCAAAGCAGTAGGTCTTCTTGGTGTCGGGGAAGGCCACCCTCATGCCAGAGGTGAGAGGGGAGTGGAGCACCACAGCAGCACACTCAAACCTGGACGCCAGGTCCACTGTGGGTACCGTGCCAATACTCTGCCCATACAGGATGATGTTCTCTGGGCTGATGCCATACCTGACACACACAGAGACAGAGAACTGAGTAAACAAATACAGAGAGGACCAAAATAAGCCTACTTGTTTTTCCAACTAGCTCTCACAGTCTCACTTCGGAATTAGACGTTCATCCATGTTTCTCAAAAGTCAAATTTCGAAGTTGTTCCAAATGTCACATTTCGAAGTGTTTAAAGGTTAAGTGTAGGCATTAACAGCTAATTTAAGGTTAGGGTTAAGTTTAGGCATTAACTCCAAATTCTTAAGGGTTAAGGTTTGGGGTAGGTTTTAACAAGATTCTATCGCTGGATTCGAACTTGCAACCTTTGGAATCAGATGCAGATGCATCTGACTCCGGGGTTAAGAGTCTTTGATTCCAAAGGTTGCAAGTTAACCCTAACCTTAAATTAGCTGTTAATGCCTAAACTTAACCTTAAACACTTCGAAATTTGATTTTGAATCAAATACAGATGCCTACACCCATCTGCCATCCCCTTCCACAATGCCCTAGCAAAACCCAAACCTACTTGAAGGTAACAGCGCTCACTGTTGCCCCCTAGTGGCCAGTTTCCATGTCATCTCCCGACGTCCTCAGACATGGATGGATGTCGAATACTGACCTGCATCACGGGTGACCTGGCTGTGTGTGCTAGGGCTGTTCCCGACATAAAAAAATCTTGGTTGACCGAGTCATCTGTTCTTTCAACCAATCGATTGTTCGACATTTTAAAGTGTATTTTTCCATATACAGTGCCCTCCACTATTATTGGCACCCCTGTTTAAGATGTGGTCGAGGACTTCCAAAAATTCTCCTTTTTTTTTTAAACATAGAACCCAAATGCAAAAAAAGAGAAAAATCCAACCTTATTTAAGTACATTACTTTGGTGGTAAAAAAAAAAACTTGAAATCATGTGTCCCACAATTATTGGCACCCCTAACAATTCCGCTGAAAATTTCAATTGATTTTTTTAAAAATATATTTTTCTGTAGTTGCTAAAGTTGCTCAGGGTATCTAGGAACTTTTAATTAGTAATTCATGACTTCCTGTTTCCCTGGGGTATAAATATGACGTGACACAGAGGCCTAATTCTCTTACCCATTTGTCAACATGGCAAAGACAAGAGAACACACCATTCAAGTAAGGCAGATTTGTGTCGACCTTCATAAGTCAGGCAATGGCTACAAGAAAATAGCCACTCGCCTTAACTTGCCCGTATCTACAGTCAGAGGAATCATCAAGAAGTTTAAAACAACTGGAACAGTGACAAACAAGGCTGGAAGAGGTCCCAAGTTTATCTTGCCACAACGCACAGTGAGGAGGATGGTAAGAGAAGTAAAAAAAAGTCCTAAGCTCACTGTCACAGAATTGCATCAAAGAGTGGCATCTTGGGGTCACAAAGTCTCCAAAACAACCATCAGACGCTCTCTACATGCCAACAAGCTGTTTGGGAGGCATGCAAGGAAAAAGCCTTTTCTCACTAACACTCACAAACGTAAACGTCTGGAGTTTGCTAAGCGGCACTGGGACTTCAACTGGGATTGTGTGCTTTGGTCAGATGAGACTAAGATTGAGCTTTTTGGCAACAAACACTAAGTGGGTCTGGCGTAAAACAAAAGATGAGTATGCCGAAAAGCACCTCATGCCCACCGTGAAGTATGGTGGAGGATCTGTGATGCTGTGGGCCTGTTTCTCTTCCAAAGGCCCTGGGAACCTTGTTAGGGTGCATGGCATTATGAACGCTTTGAACTACCAGGACATTTTAAATAAAAACCTGATGGCCTCTGCCAGAAAGCTGAAGATGGGTCGTCATTGGGTCTTTCAGCAGGATAATGATCCAAAACATGTGGCAAAATCTACACAAAAATGGTTCAGCAGTCACAAACTCAAGGTCCTCCCATGGCCATCTCAGTCCCCAGACCTCAACCCAATCGAAAACCTGTGGGGCGAGCTAAAGAGGAGAGTGCATAAGAGAGGACCCAGGATGATCTAGAAAGATTGTGCAAAGAAGAATGGTCAAAGATCCCTCTCTCTGTGTTCTCCAATCTTGTGAAATGTTATAGGAGATTAAGTGCTGTCTTGTTGGCAAAAGGGGGTTGTACAAAGTATTAACATCAGGGGTGCCAATAATTGTGGGACACATTTTTTTTTTTTTTACACCAAAGTAATGTACTTAAATAAAAGGTTGGATTTTTCTCTTTTTTTGCATTTGGGTTCTATGTTGTTTAAAAAAAAAGGAGAATTTTTGGAAGTCCTCGACCACATCTTAAACAGGGGTGCCAATAATTGTGGAGGGCACTGTATAGACATATCCTATGCGTTTTAATCAAATCAACTATATGCTTGTCTGATACTTTATGCACACTCTTTGAGCAAATAATTAAGACACACAGATGAATGAATAGAGGGAGTCCGACTGCAATTGATTTGATTGTGCCGGGCCAGGCTCAGAATTTCAGATGACAAATAAACTCCGAAAGGGGGAATGTTTGGTTGCTCAGGAGGTAACGGGGAAGTCAGATGTGTGGAATAAATGTGACTAGTTGTGGAAAATACTGGAGATCAAGAAGAATAAGGTAAGGAGCAAGCGCTGCGTACATATTATGTGTCCCAAACAGGTGCTGTTAGATTACAATATGATTTTCTGACCGTTTAGAACAATGTAAACACTAAATAAATGATAAGCGTACCAGAGAGTCTGTTGTAAAGTTATTTTTTGTCTTTTTTTTGGAAAGCCTTTAAAGATTAAAAACAGTCACATGCATTCGTGAATGCAACTGCCGAGATGGAACGGTATATTTATTGTTTACACTAATTATTCAAGGGTCGCTTTGTTATTTTATTTTAAAACTAAAATGCTTGATTGCATTTCAAATCATGAATGACTCGTACGCTGTGTGATGTCATTAACGAATGAATGAATGATAGATACAGTAGCCTATATAAGTATTGAGATATGGGCCTAAGTAAGTTACGGTATTAAGACTAAACAGGATGCGCTCTTAGGCCTACAGCTCGATGGTGGTTATACAAGGCTGCTATACTAAGACTACTAATGATAATGACATTACTTATTATAATGATGATCATAATAATAGTAATTATAACAATAAGAAGGCGATCAAGAAATTATTATTATCAATAATGTTTTTCTGGCAATTTGGAACAGTGTAAACAATGCTCAATAAATTATTAGTAATACCAGAGAGGCTGGTTCTAACAATAAAAAGAGTAAAGCCTTTATTACAGCATAGCAAAGATTAAAAAAGAGCCACATTTGTGAAATTGTTTATCAGACATCTTGTGGATGCGTGAGGCTTGGTGCTCACGCATCAGTAGGCTATTAAACAAACACTCAAACAGGCAACACAAGCAGGATCCATCTTATTTCTGTAGCTAGATATATATGGATGATTTATAAAGCCAGGCCCATTTAACAGTTAGGCTGTTGATTATAGACCTAATTAAGTTGGGGTTTCGTCTCTCCTCACTGTTCTTAGACAATTAAGGCAACGGCTGTTTTCTCATCTCCTAACTCCGTTGCTGCCGCCGCCGCATTGTTCAACACCACGCTGGTTAACGTTGCTATTATGCACATAGCAACATGGTCTAGGAAAAGGCGCCAATTCAACAGCACACTGATGTTTCAGAACCGTGGACAGCGACCGAAATCCAACGGGGAAGAAAGCGCATTTGTTATAAAATGTGTTACTAGTGTTGCACCATAGTTCTTATGTAATATAACCATATACAATTTCAGTAGCACGTCTTAGAGTGATGGACAGTGCCATCCTCACGGCTTCCATAATGGATAAATTAACTCAGGCAGGGCGAATTAGACAGGTGTCTTGTTCACCATGAAAAAAAAGTTTTTTTGCTACAGCTCGACTAAAAAAATCTCAGTCAACCAACAGCCTATCGACCAAACAATTGACCGGGTCGATTAAATGGGGTCAGCCCTAGTGTGTGCAGCCTCAGCACAGCACTATATAAGGGAGTTTTCACAAAGTTTTGAGCTACAGTTTGATTCAGAGTTAGATTATTTGCTACATTGTATTTATTTCCACATTGCCAAATATCAAAAACAAACAAAAATTCCTAAACAAACCCATATATCCATGCAAGTCATTTGTTTATTTGACTAAAACGCTCACGTTAAATCCATCTACAGTGCCTTCGGAAAGTATTCAGACCCCTTGACTTTTTCCACATTTAGTTACGTTACAGCCTTAATCTAAAATTGATTCTATTTTTTCCCCTCATCAAATCTACACACAATACCCCATAATGACGAAGCAAAAACAGGTTTTTATAAATTTTTGCTACTTTATTTAAAATAAAAAACTTAAATATCACATTTACATAAGTGTTCAGAACCTTCACTCAGTACTTTGTTGAAGCACCTTTGGCAGCGATTACAGCCTCGAGTCTTCTTGGGTATGACGCTACAAGCTTGGCACACCTGTATTTGGGGAGTTTCTCCCATTCTTCTCTGCAGATCCTCTCGAGCTCTGTCAGGTTGTATGGGGAGCGTTGCTGCACAGCTATTTTCAGGTCTCTCCAGAGATGTTCGTTCGAGTTCAAGTCCGGGCTCTGGCTGGGCCACTCAAGGACATTCAGAGACTTGTCCCGAAGCCACTCCTGCGTTGTCTTGGCTGTGTGCTTAGGGTCGTTGTCCTGTTGGAAGGTTAACCTTTGCCCCAGTCTGAGGTCCTGAGCACTCCGGAGCAGGTTTTCATCAAGGAGCTCTCTGTTCTTTGCTCCGTTCATCTTTGCCTCGATCCTGACTAGTCTCCCAGTCCCTGCCACTGAAAAACATCCCCACAGCATGATGCTGCCACCACCATGCTTCACCGTAGAGATGGTGCCAGGTTTCCTCCAGACGTGACGCTTGGCATTCAGCCCAAAGAGTTCAATCTTGGTTTCATCAGACCAGAGAACCTTGTTTCTCATGGTCTGAGAGTCTTTAGGTCCCTTTTGGCAAACTCCAAGCGGGCTGTCATGTGCCTTTTACTGAGGAGTGGCTTCCGTCTGGCCTTTCTACCATAAAGGCCTGATTGGTGGAGTGCTGCAGAGATGGTTTTCCTTCTGGAAGGTGCTCCCATCTCCACAGAGGAACTCTAGAGCTCTGTCAGTGACCATCGGGTTCTTGGTCACCTCCCTGACCAAGGCCCTTCTCCCCCGATTGCTCAGTTTGGCAGGGCGGCCAGCTCTAGGAGATGTCTTGGTGGTTCCAAATTTCTTCCATTTAAGAATGATGGAGGCCACTGTGTTCTTGGGTATCTTCAATGCTGCAGACATTTTTTGGTACCCTTCCCCAGATCTGTGCCGACACAATCCTACCTCGGAGCTCTATTGACAATTCCTTCGACCTCATGGCTTGGTTTTGGCTCTGACATGCACTGTCAACTGTGGGATCTTATATAGACAGGTGTGTGCCTTTCCAAACTATGTCCAATCAATTGAATGTACCACAGGTGGACTCTAATCAAGTTGTAGAAACATCTCAAGGATGATCAATGGAAACAGGATGCACCAATGCTCAATTTCGAGTCTCATAGCAAAGGGTCTGAATACTTATGTCAATTAGGTATTTCGGTTTTACATTTTTATAAATTAGCAAACATTTCTAAAAACCTGTTTTTGCTTTGTCATTATGGGGTATTGTGTGTAGATTGAGGATTTTGTATTTTAGAATAAGGCTTAACTTAACAAAATGTGGAAAAAGTCAAGGGGCTGAATACTTTCCGAAGGCGCTGTATGTTTATCATGAAGCATCACTTGTGTGTCCCAATCTTCATATTACTTATGCTTTGGTCTTCCAACAACATGCAGGATAAAACAGCCCAATAGCCCATCTAACTGCGACGTGAATAGGCTATATTCAATAGCCTATCCCCGGTATAGTCCCTGTCTCCCCTAATCTGCATCGGATGCGCTCATAAACGCGCTGCTATACTCACAGAATGTTTCAGAGATATCAAGTTATGATGCTGCATTTCATAAAATGCTAGCAGTGAAACAAACAATAATACTGTGCGACTGTGGTTCCTTTCCTTTGTTTGGTCCGGACTGCGTTCTCACCTGCAGCGAACCGCATCACGGTACGAATTGAAACGGACCCTTTTTGAGCTAACCACACTGTGTTGTTTAGCACGCTCCGGAGTGCGGGTAGTGTGTTCACACCAGTCCAAACGAACCCAACTAAGGAGGGAAATGCAACTGAGTTTGGAAAAAAACACTCCAAACCAATTCGGTGTGAAAGCCCCCTAATTCAGCTGATCAAAGGTCTTGATGATTAGTTAACGAGCGGGTTTGGGTGTGTGTGTAACAGCTGTTTACCGGGAGCGTAGGGCGTGCCAGGCTGCATCTATGTCAGCGTAGAGGTTCTTCTCTGAGGGTTTGCCGGTGCTGACACCATAGCCAGAGTAGTCGTAGGAGAAGATGTTACAGTTGATACGCGTGCCCAGGCCAATGTAGAAGCTACTCATCTGACCCAAGTCTACTGCATTACCATGGGAGAACAGCACTGTGAACCTAGGAGGGAGAAGGAGAGGGGGGAGGGGTAGGGAGGAGGGAGAGGAGAGAGGGGCTAGTACCGTCTCTTGTTCTAGAGAGAGGCTTGGTGAGGTGCGCTTGAAATTGTGGATTTCTTTTCCTAAAAGCTTTTTAGAGACGGCTAGGGGAGGAAAGATAAGAAAAAAGGATCAATTTAAGAGAATAAATTGAAGGATGATGTACTGTACAATAGAACCATCTAATTTAATAGAACACTATCTTACTTTAATGCATTTCTATAAATAGAACAACCTGCACAGATGTCTATTTTTAAGGACAGAAACAAACGCTATCTCTTTGAAAACGAACAAGAGAAATGTCACGGCCCACCAATTCATTAACACTGTTCTAGCTCTTCACTTTCCTCCCCTCCACTCACTCACCTGGCATTGGGGGCACAGCGGATGTACATGCAGCCCACCCTGTTCCCCCGGATGGACCTTGTCAGGAACACGTCCGTCATGTCCAGCTCTCTCTGGGTGTACTGGAACTCTGCCCTCTCTGTCAGGTGGAGCTTCCACCTGCCCTCTCCTCCCCCACCCCCACCTCCTCTGTCCCCCCCACCACCACCCAGCCGGGAGCGCAGGCCCGGAGCCCCCAGAGAGGGGGGTGCACCCCCAGGCGTGGTCCCGGCTGCTGCCGCAGCTGTAGCCTCTGGGTCTGGCAGCATTGCGTAGGTAGGCTCTGGAGGGAGGAAGGCCAGCTTGGCTGCGATGCGGCTGGGGCAAGGAGGGCAGCAGAACAGGCAGCATAGCTCTCTAATGGACAGGCCGTTCATCTTCTACGGATGGCAGGAAGGGGGGGAGGGGGGCGTGAGTGTACTAAACAGCTTGCCTAGCTGTGTATATCACACAATGATGGATGGAACATTGATGGTGAAGAGCTAAATATCTACCTGTATTAAGGTTCCTCAGGGACTTGGAATCAGATGGCACATAAAGGTGCCAACACCACCTGGTCAGGTCACTCAGCAGGCTGGATCCGTGGGCAAAAAGAGTACCATGAACACACAGTACTGACATGCTCATTTAGCTAGCTTACTACCACATTATTCTGTGAGGTGGGAGAGTCAAAGTGGGGTTTGAACCAGAGACCCTGTGGATACATGCCATAAGGTCCTGACCTCAGTCTTGCAGAGACGTAGTATGCCAGCCTTGCAGACATAGGAAGCCGTAGCTGTTAAGTTAGCTAGTTAACAATGCAAGACAATATCAGAATTCACAAGCTAACTTACAACGTCCTAAAAATGCACAGTGTATTCACGTTAGCTTGCAAGTTACAGGAAAAGCAAGCTAATATCTAGGTAACTTTAACTTCAATATCATACTGCATATTATGGTGAATCACTCAGTAAAACACTGATGTTCAGTAATGAGGATAGTTAAAGCTAGTTAACGTTAGCTAGCTGACTAGCGAACTAGCTTCATAAACTAGCTATATTGATTGTGATACACGCTAGCTAACCCTGCTAGATAGCTACCGGTACATAGCGTTAACGTAATGTGTCGAAAAATATAGCTTGCGAAACGAGACGATATTTAGCTAGCTAAAGCAGTGGCTAGCGTTAATGCAATTTAGCTAGCTAACGTTATCGGTAAATAACTTACTAGGTGGTGTAGCTAATGCTAGTTGGCTAAACTAGCTAGCCATGTCAAAGCATCAATTAGCTAGCTAACGTTAGCTAGCTTAAGGTTAATTTACCTATTCACGATGGGTTTGCGGACAAGATAAAATATTCCTGTCTATCAAAAAAAGAGCTGCACAATACCTCGACAATCCTCCTTGAGCCCTGACATGGGTAGTGTACTCTGTATAATTTGATATTTGTCTGTCATTTGTTGATTGGCTAGCTAAATATCATGACAACCAGTTAATTTCTCCACAACCCTGTCCGACTAGACCCGGAAGTGACGGAGAGAGAGGGCGTAGCCCATTGGTAGTGATAAGTCATTCATTTAGCGCTTACAATGTTACATTTTACGAAATTGTCGTTTTCACGGATTACGTTGTGATACTATATAATTGCACTGGAAAAGAGCAGGCTGTGTGTGTGTGTGTGTGTGTGGGTTGGAGGTGATTCTTCTATGAGGGAGAATTTTCCTTGTTTCACAATCCTTTTGGGGATAGTAAAACAAGGAAAATGTTCCATCGTGGGGACTTTTCCCACGTCCCCATGAGGACAATGCTATTTTAAGTTTAGGGGTTAGGTTTAGGGTTAGAATACGGGTTTGGGTTGGAATTAGGGATAGTGTAAGGGTAAGGGGTTAGGGTTAGGGTTAGGAATTAGGTGTGAGAGAAAGAGAGAGAGAGAGAGAGAGAGAGAGAGAGAGAAAAATAACCTTAGGTTTGGTCAGTGTGTTTCCTCTGGGACCTTAATTAGAGAGGGACAGGTCAAAAAGTATAAAACTGCCCTTTAGACGAGTTTTTGTCTAGAAGGGATACAGCTGTTGTCAAAATGGACTTTTCTTAGCAGGTTTAGAAGAACTTACGCAGAAGGTTAGGATAATTAACGTAGCAGGTTAGGATAATTAGGTTAAGGTTAGGGAAAGGGTTAGGTTTAGAGTTAGCTAAAATGCACACATAAAATATCTGCTTTTGACTTCAAATTTAAAAGCTGTATCCCATCAAGATATGACCCTTAGACCAGTGTGTGGATGAGAGAAAGTGTGTGGTGTTATTGCTTTGCTGCATCTGTTGGTGAACTATGGCTGTGTTTACACAGCCACCCAAAGAACCCAATTGTGATTTTTCCATATCCAATCTTTTCTTCTGACTATCCACACTCAGTTTTACATGTGACCCATATCAGATGTGCGCATTCACACTGATGTAGCCTCTGAAGTAGCGTTACAGATGCTAATTTCCTGTCACTGTTCCTTTACATTTTGGGGTGGTTGTCATGCTAATGAAGGGTCATCTGCAACAAACAAAAAACACTTCAGAGCAAAACAAATCAGATTTCAGTGTCCAGAAGGATTACTGTTATACTATTCCAGGTATTCCTTAAAGAGGTAGGGTTTCAAGTGTCTCCGGAAGGTGGTCAGTGACTCCGATGCCTGGCGTCGTGGGGGAGCTTGTTCCACCATTGGGGTGGCAGAGCAGCGAATAGCTTTGACTGGGCTGAGCGGGAACTGTGCTTCCGTAGAGGTAGGGGGGCTAGCAGGCCAGAGGTGGATGTAGGATCAGAGCCTGAAGGTAAGGAGGTGCGGTTCCCCTCACAGCTCCGTAGGCAAGCACCATGGTTTTGTAGTAGATGCGAGCTTCAACTGGAAGCCAGTGGAGTGTGCGGAGGAGCGGGGTGACAAAACAAGCAAACTTAAACCTTTATTCCTTTAATAAACGTTGCTTATTTTTTATACTGTATCTGCCTCTGGCTGTGTTCATGGGCCTAGAACCTGTGATCCCAATAGATGTTACAGATGGATAGGACTATTTATGTAATTAGGAAAACCATAATTTACAACAATGACTTTGGCTGTCCTACCTCACAGAATATTATGAATAGGCTATAACACATTTTATTGAGTGAATATATAATTACTGTACAAAATTATAGAGATACCCTGCTCTTATTTGTTGAGATCCTTCTCTCGGAAACATCTGCCACTCAGCTGCTCCCTTGTGCCCCCCTTTCATCTGATTTCTTTAGTTTTGACAGCTTCCACTGATGGCATCTCGCTCTGTTCTTTCCTACAGCAGTGGTTCCTTTATTATGCAGTGTTTTAACCTACTATAATCTTTGACATTTTCACACCCAGATTTGTCCTTCATGGGTTATGTCATGGATCCTAATCTGAATGTCATTCTTTCTCCAGAATATACATTGTCAGTTTGTTCCATATTTCTAACCTAATGATATGCTACAGTGTTCAAAGACAAAACCCAATATTTGTTTATAATTTGGTAATGATTTTCTGTCGTTATATTTTTTTGGATTAAAATAAGTGATTGATTTGAATATGCAAGAAAAAAACACAACTGTATGTGTGCGTGTGCGTGGGTGCGAGTGAAAGAGCGAAAGAGAGAGAGAGAGAGAGAGAGAGAGAGAGAGAGAGAGAGAGAGAGAGAGAGAGAGAGAGAGAGAGAGAGAGAGAGAGAGCGCGCGAGAGAGCAAGGACGTTCCCATTCATGCACTGTGGGGTGCTGTGTCGTTTTGCAATGGGCCCCTGCCGTGAATATTTCTGTCTCGGTGTTGGTTTGGTAATTTTATGTATTGTTGGCTATGGAGACATTCTGCGTTGGTGTCCTTCCTAAATCAAGTATTGTCTAGGAATATATATATGCATCATAAGCCTGTGATAACTGAGAGCTTGACCAGTGCCGACTCAAATCAGGGAGGAGAGCCGTTGTCTCTCTCGGGCTGTCAAACCTGGAAAGACTGCACAACTGGGTGAATTAATTAAGACTGAATGGAAAGACTCGTGAGTATTTTGACTGCACATATAGCCTAAGCTTTCTAGTCATTTGATGGTGATGCTTGCGTACCCCGAATATATATATTCCTAGACAATTTGCAGGGGTGCCCGCAAACTATTTCCATTTTCAGCCAAGGTACTGGAATGTAGCCTATAAAAAAACCACTGCACCTGCATGTACAGTATTTCGCTTTCAACCGGGAAAGGTTTATTGGAAAGGTCCGGACTGGTCTGGGCGCATTCTCTGAAAGATAGCGGAGATGCCACGGTTACACGCAGAAGCCGCTCGATGAGAGACAGGTGCGACAGAGAGGATTGGTATTAGGCTAGCTACGGGGATACCGATTCTCAACCAGGCATTGTGATTCAAGACCCCCAAAGAGAGCTCGGTGCCGTTCTTCACCCCTTGTGTTGATTTGAGAGTTGGAGAAAACCCGGTCTGCATAGGTTACGAGAGAACGGCTAGACATAGCCTGCATACCTGTCCGTCTCGCACAGTGAATGGTGAGTGAGCTAAGCGGTATGGTGGAAGATGGTGAACAGGTATTGCGTTCGCCGTAGAAGCGTTTTTGTCGCGGCCACACCTTATGTTGCTGGTTTTGGATGTGCATGCTTTGAATACACTCATGTATGTTTAAGTAGCTGCCTGCCATTGAATGCTTTGGGTTACTGATAATGACAAAATACTCTTGTGGCATATTCATTTGATGTATCTGTCTCCTGTGGTTGCTACTGTCTGGGCCCTGTGTTCTTTGTATTATTCAATGCATCATTGTTTTCATGATGGATTAATTGATTTTTTATTATTTTGTCATGTTTTGCATCACTTGCATGATATAGACCATTAGTTTTATGTGGGCCTATTGGTATATGATCATTAATGTTTATAAATGTTTTCAATGTCAACATGCAACAACAGTAAGAATTCTGATCATAAGGATGACAATATAGTTTAATCATGTTGACAATTAGCCTACTGATCCTGTATGGAACAACAGCTCTTATTCATCCCTATGCATGAGGCACATAATGCTAGTTTTCTTTAATTCCTGGGGTCATTCTTGTACAGTGTGACTCTGAACCTGGGGAATGACCTGAGGTAAGTAATTGGCATGAAAGAGTGACATTGAATAATTATGTTTTCTCAAGGTTTTGGGTGATGTAGACCAAGGGTTCGACATATGGTGATTTGACTGCTGTCACTCCATTGATTGGCTCATTATTCTTTCAGTGATGGAATTACAGTAGCTCCATGGTCTATGGTCTAAGTGTAGTATAATTTAAAGCACTTTGAGACCTACTGAGTAGGAAGACCCAGTTGGGTCTACAGGTAAACTGACATTTGCGTGGCTGGCCTGTGCTTTTA